CCCTTGGCTAATGCACTTTTATTAGCAGCAATCGCTTGCTCCAGCATGTTAACCGCAGTGCCCGCACATATACTATACATATGTATATGTATGTATTACAAAAAAAATATTCCTCGCCTGCAACACATTTGTTTAATCTGTTTTTATATTAAATAAGAAACAACAACAGCACAAATCTGTTCTCAACTAAATACAAATTTATTGTTATTGTTGTTGTTGTATTTGTTTTGTCGCCGAACGAAACCGAAATCAATTTTTGTTTTATTTTTTTGTTCTTTTATGACTTGTGCGGTTTGTCGGTTAGTTGTTGTTGTTGTTGTAAATATTTATCCCAACACTTGTCGAGTTTCAAGCAAAAAAACAACCAAGACAAAATTCATATAGTTGCGTTATCAGTAAAACTGTATGGGAATGAATAAATTGTGTAGTTCGGGCGACCACAGTCGAGAGATATGTAGGCAAGAAATTTCAATTGATTAAGGCAACGAACAAGGGTAACTACGTTTAGGTATTTTTGTATGTTTCTAGATAAAAACTCAATTCAAAAATATACCAGAAATCATCTGATGCTATCAATCAGTCAAAATTGTCCCGCATTGGACTCGGACTTGAACTAGAACTAACTCGATTGACCAGCATAATGCGCATTGAGCACATGTACATATACATATACATATACATATACATATGTATGGGTATGTGTGCTTATAGATAATCATAATAATAATAATTTTCATGCACAAATTCGATTTGTGCTTATCATCGCGTGACGCTACTGGGAAGCTGGGAAACTGTGAAGCCAACACCGATTGTTGGGGGTGAGCCTCGATGATGAGCTATCAAAATTATAATACTCGACTTGACGGATGGCTTTTCAACTAATTAGAAATTAAGTTTATCTCTCTCCCTCTCTCTCTCTCTCTCGATTGGATGACCCGCAGATTGTCTATTATAGAGTTTCGCATTCTTTTTCCCTTAAATTTGTATAAACTCTGACGCACTTGGGCAAAATGTGCTGAAATACCCATAACGACTTGACTGCTCTATATATATATGTATATATATATATTATAAGATGAACTGTTTGATATCATGCGATTCATTATTAAGTTTTTATTTGAATGTAAATATTTGTGAACACGCGCTTTGTCTCTTGAAATGTCGAAAAATAAACAATTGAGTACGATACAAAATTGGTATTCGAATTCATGCGGAAAACCCGTTGCGAGGCCAAAACGAAGTTGGCTAAAAATAAATTGAATTAGTCCCAGATCGAGCGCAACTGTGCAAACAGCCGATCGATAAACGCTTGCTAATCTAACAAGAAGCCAAGAGAGTCGGGGCCGTAACGTCACTGATCTATGCCCAGATACAGAGCGTACAGTGTACAGCACACTGCTCACAGCGCGCACAGCGCACACGCACATGGGGCGTATAGGCGTGGCAATCATCAATAATAATAATAATATTAAGTACAACTGGCAGCAGCGGAGACAGCCGAAATAAATTTGATTAGGCAGTGTCAAGGCAGCTCTCGATTCGAATTGTATTGTTGTTATGTTCTATTTGATTTGTATTAATATTCATCATAATTTATAATTCATAATCACCTCACACACACACACACACACACACGCACACACTCACACACTCACATTCATTTGAATGATTTTGAGTTTTTCGTGTGTTGGGCTCTTTGAATTTATTGACGATTATTCCAATTTAGTATGATTTTTTTCAATTAAAGCTTAAGTTGAACAATTTCTAGCAATACATTTGGTTTTTAGTATATAGCAAATATATAGATATATGTATATTTATATGTATATTTATATGTGTGTGTATATATAGCATGGAAATGTATCAGTTAACACGGGTAAGCCTCAATTAGTCTTATATCATTGCAGCTGACTGTTTTGCAACACTGTTTTACAGCACTACCAATATGCTGCATGCTAGCCAAAAGCTGCTGAAAGCTCTAAAATGCAAAGCTTCTTAATATACACTATATTTGATTGCTTTTTAAGCCAAATTTAGATCGTCTACATAGGCATCTATTTACCTAGCCTCTGATTTGATTGACAGCCATGTTGCATTGTTAGTGTTGTTGTTGTTGCAGCCTATTATTGGCGTTAATGCAGCTGGCTGCTGCTGTCAAAGCAAAACAGCAGGCAAACTTTATTTATTATAAATTTCAATTCAACGCAAGATTTGATGAATTTTTTTGCTGCTGT